TTACTTGAACATCTACATCATATTTGTTATTATCTGACTTTCTGTACAGTAAAGACAAATGTTATACTCAAAGAGCTTTATTGAGAAATGTTGGCCCCTTTAAAAACATCTATCCAGAACACACATTTTTGTCCCATCAGTAATAATTCACACAATTCACAGTGTACAGGCTTTTTCACATAAAAATGTGAACACAAGGTATTCCCTACTTTGCAGACTGAAATATTATAAAAGGGCAGGACAGACAATACTGGCACTGGTGCTTCCAAACAACATGCTCTGAGGTTTAATAAAAATCAAACTACATATATATAATCAGTTTTTGTATTGATGCCAGTTGTTAAATACTAAAACTGTATAAAAGTTTTGTGTAGTGAATAAAACATAAAGGAGCGTAACAGACAAGGCAGAACTTGGCCTATATAAAATTACAGAGAATCCCATGTTATTATTTGTCTAATTAAAAAGAGATGAGTGAAAAGTAAATAGTAGTTTTAGCCTCTCCCAGTGAACCTTAAGGCAGTCAGTGCATTTTGTGGACAGTGTACGAACATAATAGTGATTCCAGGACAGTCACAGTTTGGGGGTCTCAGTCGGAGCCAGTGGAGCTCGGCCCCTCAGGAATCGAGGAGGTGTGGGGTCTTCAATGTCCTCATCTGTAAAACAAATATACAAATATAAACAAAAACAAAAATGCTCTTAGTACCTCTGCATAGGATAACTGAAAGTATTTTATCAGAAGACTTCTTTCAAATCCATATTTTTTTATCAGTATATTTGGATATGTAACTTTCTTTTTTCTGCAAAACATTACTGTGTAAATGAATTGGTCAATATTATCTTGCATATACAGTGTATGATCTGATACGATTATTTTAGGATTGGTTTTAGCCGTGAAATAAAAATCCACCTTGTAGTAATGACTTACTATGGTTTTACTAATCTGAAATACCAACACAAACCCTTCACTGCTGCTCTTTGAGTCCATAAAATGTGATACTCTGCACCTGTGACTGAGTGAGGGCACCCATGGGCGAGGGACAGATCAGTGTGCATCGGCAAGCACAGGGGGGCACCCCGGATTAAGAGCATGGCACTGAATTTATTTGGACATCCTTAACATTACAATCTCTAATCCTGATTGGATAAAAGCACAGCTGCTGCAGCCGCTCACCCACTGCTCTCAGTACATTCACAGCCACAGATGAACTAAATGTCTCTTTGCTGCTAAATGTTTATATAGTTCACAAGAATGTTTCCACTTATGAACTAAATTTACCACTGCTGCTACTGTACCAGAGACAACAGGCTTTAGAGGCCAAAGCAGAGCGGCAGCTCTAATTTTTGACAATTAACATAGGTAATAATTCAAATCCTTATTGAACTGTTTGTGGCAGCAGCCACTACAGGGACTTGATTCATTGTCACTACAGCCATACAGTAGCCAAAAGGAGAACAAACACCTGTAATTATGCATAGTATAGATTTAGAAAATATCTCTAGGTCAGTTGGGCTGAGTGATGATCAGTTCATGATCAATGCAGTGTTGAATTTTATTAAATTAATTTAAGTGACATTATCTATTATTTTTTATTCTTTTTGGATAGTCAACCATTAGACAGTTTTCTTGTTTTATTGTGGTGAATGTTGAAATGACCATCATCCAGCCCAATTAAGTTTTAGAAGATTAGTAAGTGCAGTGTAGGCATTGCTGCATGCACCCTCACCCTCCTGAGCCCAGGTGCGGTACTTACATGTGTTTTAAGAGGTGACCCTGTGTGTTAGCTCCTGCCCCTCTACCTCAAATACTCCCTCTCACTGCCATAGTCCATTAAGGAGCCTGCCACATCAGCAAAGTCCTCCAGGACCAGGCTGGTGGAGTCCTCACCCGAGGGCAGCTCTGGATCCCAGCGGTCACTCATGGGGGGCTTCTCTGGACCTCTCCAATGGTCAGGCTGGGACAGGTCAGACGGCTGGTATTCTGGAGCTGGGTCTTCTCCTTTAGGATCTTTTATTAGACCACCATCACTCCCACTGCCTCCCTCACTGCCCTGCGATGATGGAGCAAGGACGTGGTAGAGGCTGGGCAGACGGATGTCCAGGAGCACACCACTCTTGATGTACAGCTTGTTGTTGAGGTTATACAGCTTCTCTGCAATGTCATAGCCCAACATGACAGCAAATAGACGAGCAATGTAGCGCTCTTTAGACATGAGCAGGTAAAGGCGACGGCGACGCCATGTGATATAACGAGAGTCTTCCTCTGCTGTCAGGGTCACCTGGAGAAGAGATGAGTTTAAAAATAGTAAAATAGTTACATTAACAAGTTATGAGGTTCACCTGGTTCATCATTATTTATCCATTTATACATACAGAAAACAAGAAAACAGAAACAAAAGGACAGATTCTTGTAACACTGGCTGACCATGTTTTTTCTCTTTGTCAAAAGCAATTGATTCGGAATATAAAGTAGCAGCAGAATAGCTTTACATACAGCATAAATATCAGTATCCAATCCAAAGAACTCAAGCCAAGTGATCCTTTATTCTAAATAAATATTCAAACAATATGTGAAGTTGACAGTACAGTCAGCATTTAGGTTTGTACCTGGAACTTTCCCTTTTCGTTTGGTCGGAGTGACCCCCACTCTGGAGAGTCAAGAAACTGGTGGGGGTGGATGTAGTGAAGGAACTGTCCTTCCAAAGAGACATTGATTCTGCACGAAACCAACAAAACAAACACAATGTTTAGGACACACTTTACCTAATCTATTTGATCTGTCAATATTCAGCAGACAAATGCATTTTGGCTTGGCTCACATCAGTCTCCAGTGTTATAGCTGTACTACAAATAGTGATTTTACTTTGTTATTGGTTTGTTTGTTACAGAGTCAGAGTGGTTTTAGCGTGAGAACATTTAGGAAGACATAACTAGTGTCACATAAGCAAAGTTATGAGCAGCAGCTGATTATGGCTGAGTCACAGACAGAAATACTTTGTTTACAACAGTACATTGGACCCATGGCTCCAACTCAAGTCCCACAATGTTTGGATAAAGACAAGCTTCCTGTACAAGTCATAAATAGGACCATTTTCCAAAAATAAAACAGGAAGTGTGTTGTGTGTATGTGTATCCTGGACAAAAATCTGTAATTGTATTAAGAACTATGGGGTTACAATAGAACTGCATTCACACTATGCCTTGTTCAAACACAGTGCCCACCTGCCAGACAGTAAGAACGACAGTTGGTCTATGGGGGTCTTGCCTTCCACAGCGTACATTTCTCCGGCTTTAAGCTCCACCACTTTGTTTTCAAAGGCACCAGCGATCTGTTTGAACACATGCACTGGGACCCCCAGGGGAAGGTACACAGCCTGGTACAGAGAGGTGAGCTCCTCACTGGGCAGCCCCTCCTGGTGCAGACGGAACAAGAGGTGACAGATCTGAGCCAGACACACAAACAGCAGCAGAGCGTTCCAGCTCAACACATCCAGGCCGCACATGGTCATCCAGCCCCAGAGGGTGAGGCAGAGGAAAGCCGGGCTCAGAAAACCAAAGATAAAGAGGCAGCCATAGGCCCCACTGCCCCCCATGTAGCCCAGAAACAAGATGGTGTTGCCCAGTTGGTAGAGGGCCCCTTCTGTGTTATTGGTCCATCCATTGCACATAGGGGCATACAACAAGTGGTCCTCCAGGGTAGAGTTATCAGAATCCATATTCTTCAAATAACAAGGCAGAAAAGATTCAAAACAATAATCATCCACTGGCTGTTATGTCTGCCACCCCCCTGCTGAAGCTGACAATAGCAGCAAACAAATATTTGATCCAGGGGAAAAACAACTCTTCAATGTGAAGAAATCCTCTCAGCTCTGTCTGAAACACAGCTGGAATAGCTTCATTGGTCTGCTCTCATGATGTGTCCCGCTTGTCCCCTCTACTTTCTGAGCCTGTTGAATTTGTCCCGATCACCCCCGTCTGGCCTGCGGTCCACAACTAACAGCTGGAAGAGCAGGGGATAAGGGACAGGGGGCGTCAGTAGGGCCCTACAAGGATAACCATGTTTGGAATTGAAACCCAAGGAGGACAGAGCGGTGGACAGAAAGCAGGCCTGCACTTAACATAACACAGAGAGACAGAGGGAGAGAGGAAACAAGGGACCTGACAAATATGTCACAGAGCCTGACTGTCCCATAAAAACACAGAATAAAACAGTTCTAAAACAGTGCTCCATTCACACGGTCTTCAAGAGCTGAGCCCACACTGAAAACTGTCATTAGATATTTAGGGCCACTGCAGTGACAGGGAGCACTCTGTAGGTCAGGTTTCAGGTTAAGCTCCTTGACTTGACTCTCCATGCAATGTCAGCAAAATGTATTTTAGATGGAAACTAGTATTTACTACTATCATTAGTAGTAAATGATAGTAGTAACGGCTCAGAAAATAATCTCATGTATCTTGCAATTCATCCAGTCAATGCATGACCTAGTCTAGCTGGCCAGGTGTGTCCAAACTGTATTATACAGTTAGACAGTTAGACAGTCAAAGTAACTCATTTGAATAACTTTATATAACTTTGTTTTAATTGCACTGCTTGGGTATTTTGTCCGTATTTTATTAATTGTATTTAGATTCATTTTTGTTTTATCCTGCCTTTCTCAGCCTTCATCTATAATTACATATATTTTAATCATCATTATTGTATGTACATTTATGCTACATGCTTTCACCTTAACTGTCCATTTTGCCCAGACACACTGACAGTGGCAAAGCTTTGAAGACTCTTAGGATAGTATGTTGCTCGCTATCACTGAAGACATTTAAGAGATGATATACAAATGATATAGCAAGTATTATTTGTTGTCTGAAAAATGTAACTACAGTAGTTTGGAATTTTACCCCAAAATGATGCCTATGATGCTAATGCCTTTAATTGTCTAACTTATCTGCAATATACAATCAATAACCATTATATATTGACTTAACTTTATTAACAGTAGCCTAATTGGGTTTGTCAAAGTAGATTTTACAAACACCCGAAGAGTCAATGTGGTGTTCTGCCAACAACACTTCAGCAACACATAAGAATGCAGATATGTTGAGTATTGACTTCAGTGGAGAGTTTATTTTGGGCTTAAGTGCATACCATGGACAGCAACTGGACAGCTTTCACACAGCTTTCTGCAGATTTAACTCTAAAGAAATATGCTTCAATGTTCTGAATCTGAGCCATCTTTTGATAGAAACCAAATTATGACATCAGTACAGAGTTTCTTGCATAGAACATTTTATTCACACAGCATTGTTCCATATCAACAGTTTTTCACATAAAAAAAGGAAAGAAAAATATGTGGAGTCTCTGAAGTGTCACATTTCCCTTTTATTAGGGTCATAAATAAGATCAGGAGTCACTAGTACACAGCAGGCATCCAGACACATGCACACTGAAAGATAAATCAAAATCCATAGTTACAGTTAGTTTTTGAACTTATAGTCTATGAAATTATAACAAAATTTCAAAGATACATTTATTCACACATTTTATATTGGCGCTTCGGCATTCCTCTACTAAACACAACACTTTAGAGCGTAACTTGAACTATGCAACATAGCTCTGAGCATGTTTCTAACACATGCCACGCCCCCTCTCATCACCCCTCCCTCTCCCAACTCACTTTGGTTACATTATGTTCCAATTCAAAGAAAAACATTACAAAATGCATGTGCCGTGTGTATTTTTAAAATAATAATATGACCATTTAAAGTAGAAAAAATTTACACAATCTTATTTTTATAATAGCAGACAGATAGACACACAAAGATAACACTTCATCCCTGCTATCCCCTACAGACATGACACTTACCACACACATAGATTAATTAAATTTTGAAGCCCAACGCTCTCATGCACTCTTTATGGGCCTCTATGAGTTGTGTGCAGTTTTCTTCTCCCTTCTCAATTATGCTGCAGAAACAAGATTACAACACAATGAAAAACTAGGTCCTTCTTGAAACTGATCTAATAAAATTTTGCTCAACCTTACCACGCGTCCCTGACTTTCTTCGTTTCTGGACAAGCACAGCATGGTTTCAGTGGCTTCTTCTCCTCTACCACGGGCTCCACACTGGCAGCAGAAAGCGATGACATCTTTGCAGCTCTAAGAATCAAACAAATATATAATAAATATCACAAAACAGTTCATTTATTTATTCAAACACATCTTATCCGACACCGTAGGAGTAAATTGCATCACTGACATATGGGAATGACATGCTGTTTTAGCCATTAGCTTCTTAGTTTCAATTAAGATCCGAAGTACAAATGCGTAATTGCTTACAATCAGATGCCAATTTTGATTATGATTATTTAATTTTTTATCTATTATTTTACATTATATACATTTTAGTCGATGGTGAAGCTCGATAACCCTGTGCCGAAGTTAGTTAACGAATAGGCTAGTTGCTAAACCCCGAACACGATTTGTCTGCTGTGTTCATGAAAAATACAATGCAATTTTCGAATGATGTTATTACTGAGTAAATAATTAAAATAACTTACGGACAAAGCCACTAAACACGCTCACCAGGAACACTTCACCTTCAAAACGTAACCAATGCGATGCTTCGTCTCACGTGTGTGTACGGTTACACAAGGTCACGTGGGAACAACAGAGCATTCTGGGAATTGTCGTTTTGGTCTGGAACATGCGCACAGATAAATAGTTGTACTTAATTTTTGGCAAGTAGACACAAGGTGGGCAGACGCTGCAAATTGCCAACTAATAAAGGTAAAAATCGATACATTAACATAATACTAGATATTATGTCTCATTGCAGACTAATTTTATTGTTGTAAAATACTGTATGTAGCCGTGAAAGTATACCAAATATTAGCCAAAGATCTACTTGACATTAAATTGTTAATGTCAGATATGGCATACCTTCATGGTACACAAGGAGAGAAGAAATAAAATATCAACGGGTCTGGGTTATCGTATGACAAAGTTAACAAATATGTAGGCAACACCCATAGATGGTTTCCACCTTTCTTGTGCGTCAGTGCAGGAAAACCGTGCGTAAGCAGTATCAAAGAACCGTATGGCCAGCTGTGTGCTAGATAGTTGAGCAAATAAGCATTTTTGTATTCGTATGTAGAAAGCACTTGTGCCTCTATGTACAACACTCAGCTGCTGTGGGTTTAAATAGTCCAAGATTTACCTTGGACTATTTAAACCCCAGTTTCTTTATAAGGGTTAGCTCTAGCAGCCTATACATTTATCTTGTCTAACTCTCATGGGACATTGGGACGTACGTATGCCCCCTGCAGGGAGAACAGCATAGGGCAGTCCAATTAAAATATGTAAATACCCAGGATAAGGCTTTTTAAATCTTCTCTGAGTCCTAGTGTCAAAAACAGTACGATAAGTCTTGCAAGAACAGGCTTGACAACAATAAAAGTTCAGTCTTTGCTGGCAGGAAGCAATCTTAATTTTATTTATTTATTTATTTTGCAATAAATGTTTGAAGCTATTAGTAGCCTATATTTGGACTACACTGAGCTAGAATATTTCACAGTTACGCACAGATTCTGATATTTCAAAATCAAAAAATAACATGAGTCTTATAAAATGTGTGCCATGTATTAGACGCATCACCTACACTAATCTGCCAGAGATTACCCACTGTCGTGACCTCATATCTAATCCCACTGTGGTCCTACTTTTTAATGTAATTTCTGTATTTCAGATAACTAAAACTTTTTCCAGACATCTTACAAATCAAAGTTATAGAGAATTTGATTACTTTTTAAAGAGACATCCACTGAAAAGGTGGTAAATATAAACAACAACAGTGTGTCTTACGGTCTAGCGACTCATGTACAGCATCAGGTAACACAGTACAGTGTTTAATTACATTCGTGCACGAGAGTCCCAGTCCATGGCAGATGTCACATGCACATGACCGTGAATGTGATGGACACAACAACTTTGAAATGTTCCAGTTTCTTTCTGTGAACTACTGATATTACACATTCCATATAGATTTACAAGATTACTCACAGTTTTTACATCATCTTTAAATTATAGCCACCATTACTACTACAATTTAATAAAATATATTTTTATCAAAATGGCAGGATTGTTTCACACTCAAACCTTGTTTATAAAAGGGTCAAATGGTTTTGGAGTTTCTGAGTCATTTTGTAAATCTTGTAAAATATTATTTTTTAATTTGTTTAGTTAGCACACAGTTGACAAAATAATAATAATAATGATAATAATAATAATAATGATAATAATAAAAAGCTAATGATCAGGATATGTATCCTCTTTTGACACACACATCCCCAAGATTAATATAAGATGGACCTTTGCCTCTTTGACATGGCATGATTCATGTGGGATGGGATTCAGATGCTGAATAGTTGATGAGCTAGGACAAAAAGAATAGAATGGTAGGGGTGGGGCGGGGGCAGAAATAGAGAGAGAGGCAAGGGGGAAGAGGAGAGGATGGAGAGGGGGTGGAGAGAGAGGAGAAAGGCGGGCATCCTTTCAGCTCAGATGCAGATCCTATAAGCCCTTAGGTTTACTGGCTTGATGGAAAATTACCTTGTGACCAAAAGGGGGAGGTCGGGAGGACTAGTAGAAAGTCATAGTCAGTCGCCACTCATCTTGAGAAGTACTCGGGGTAGCAGGGACGCGGGATGGCCCGGGAGGATGGCAGATCGCAGGACGTCCCGCTCGTTCGTGGACAGGCTCAGAGGTCCTACACCTGCTTTCTCCGTGGCAACCTGTGGCTGGCGGGCGCTGCTCCTGCCCCAGCTAAACCGCCAGTCCCTGTATGTCTACGGCAGTGAGATAGCAGTGGAGAAGGAATGCATGAGGCAACTGCAGAGTGGGGTCCTTGTCATCCACCCCTTCAGCCTTATGAGGTACAGTCCATGCACTTTTATTTTGAATTGTACTGTGTGTGTCTAATAAAAGCACGCCACTGTAGTGCTGAGCAAACAACTTCAGCAATAGGTACAACTTTGTTTCCATAACTTTTTGTTGACGTATTTTCATCCTTTACTGTTCCTATTTTATTTCTGTTCATCTTTTGCATTGTTATGAATACTTGTTCTTTTGCCCTTTTTGATTGCTCTTATTTCTTGCAGCCAATATGAATGTACAAGCCATATTATAAATAGGGAAAAATAATACTTATAAGTAAAAACATGATAATCAATAAGTACATCTAAATTTATCTTCATGTCTCAAATGTAAAAGTCACTTTAGGACATTACTGAGGAGGAAAACCATCTGCCTTTAAATTAAATGTGTGATATAGCTATAATTGGTTTGTAACGTGAGTGGATGGAGTGAAAACAGAGAACAAATGAAACAATTGGGAGAGTTATTTGAGCCAGGACATTCAACACCATTTAAAGAGATTTGCAGTTACAGTATCTCATTTAGTTTGCATAAATAGTCTTGACTTACAGCCCACGGTCCAACGAGTTCCCAAGGAAGATTTTGTTCTGGACTGAAAAACAATATGTAAAACAAAAAATAGTTGAAGGACAAAAAAGACAACAAATTAAACTGTAATTTTGTCTTTTTAGGAGTTACTACATTATGGGTATGATGGCGATCACCTTCTTGAACTTGATCGGCATTCCCATGGAGATAGCGTTCCTGGACAGAAACAGCGGGCTGGCTTGGGAAGGCTTTAATGTCTTTTCAGACACGCTATTCCTCATCGATGTGGCTTTGAACTTCCGCATGGGAATCATCCGGGACGATGCAGAGGTGACAGCCTGCATTCCCATACACAATCTGGGCTGCTGTAATCTGCAGACAAACACATACAATCCAGCCATGCCCCATCTGCAACCTACATTTAACATCACAGGCAGGATTAATGACCCCTTCAATCTCCCCCTCGATCTCCAAACACAGGGAAAATATTGGCACCTGCTGTTGATTTGGTAACGGGGATTATTGTAACTCACTCACACATCTACTCCAATTATGGGCTCTGAATCTGGCTGATTTTCATCTGTTTAGGCTGCGGGATTTATCAAGCCAATCACAAATGGCCCATCTGTGAGTTTGATCCTCAGCATTACTAACCTGCATTTATTTATGATATTTAGTTACACAATTATTCCCTACAGTACAAGGATCAGTTCAGATTTCCATGTGCAGCTCAAAATGCCACAAAACACCATGTACTAATGATACGCTTCAATCACTGACTTCTTTCAGTGTATTGTGCTCCCCCAAGGCAATTTTCCACAATATATCATACTGAGAAATGGTCATTATTTTGATTCTGACAAGTCCTAGTTCCTCTATTGTCTATTGTATACAGTGCAGTTAGATGGACCCTGCATAGTGCATAGTGCATAGTGCCTAAGTTAACTGAGACAAATATTTCACAAATGATTTATCTTTTTATCAAAGCAAGTATAAATTTGCCATGACTGACACATTTTATTTTAGACAAATGTCTGACTTAGTCTCGCATTTTACTTTAGCACAGCCTATTCAGTGTGTTCTGTACTTCTTTTACAGGAAGTTGTTTTAGATTTAAAAGAGATCCGACTGAGCTACCTGAGGACGTGGTTCATTCCTGATGTGATAGCAGCGTTCCCAATCGGATACATACTTCTGTTTGCGGTAATATTAATCTCAAAGTAGAGGCAATGCTGGCATAGTTATATTTATCCAAAGTAATAAAAAATAATACATTTTTAGACTCATACAGTGAAGTAAACAAAGACGCCGACTAGAAGCCAATTTAAAGTTCTCTTATGCTCCTGTGCTGCTGCTACTGCACTTTTTAGTTAATTATCAAGCCTATGTTAATTTTACATTTCAAGCATAAATTACAGAAACTGGAAAAGGTCAAATGTTTATCCTGCTAACTAATAAGCACATCACATTGCTGCACAGCTCTAGGTTGCATGTATATACCTTTTACTTGACATTTTTGTTTATGTTTAATTGTTTATAACATGTTGAGGTGAAACATGAATAAGTAAATACTTCATACAATTCGCTTACATTGCTCCTTTTGCCTTTTAGCTGTTCAATTCTTTCCAATGCTTTATTATTAATGCACATCTATTATTGTTCTGTCAGCTTTGTAGTCTAAACCCTTCTTTTGTTTTCACAGTAACAGTTCTAGACTTAAGAACTACTATGCCTTTACCCATGTTATATTTCAATTATTCATTGTATTGAGCACCAGTCTACGGCCCTCGATCAGCCCTCTGCTTTGTTTGTGTTTAGATCTGTGGCCCTTGATGAAAAAAGTTTGGATACCCCTGTATTATATGAATTTTCTTTCATCACAAACTTCCTTAAAGGTGTACTATGTAACTTTTTGGTTGGGGGTCCTGCTTGTTTCTATGGATATGTCATTGCTTTTCTAGGAATGTTCCACAGTATGACATTAAACAGCTCTACCTTACATTTATTCAGTTACAGGTGGTTTTATAGCTGGAAAAACATGAGGATGAAAAGGTTTATTACCATACTGTGAAACATTCCAGACCAAAGAAATAACATCTCCATGGGGAAAAGCATTTGACCAACCCTCCACCAGAAAAGTTACACAACGCACCTTTAAAGTTAGATTTTGAGTGATACATATGCAATCCAGTATTGTCCTGCTAGAGAGCTCAGCACATTTATGTTTTACCTACTCCCTATCAGAAGTCAGTCCTTTTCTTTTTTCTCACTTTCTTGTTGTACAAACTTGGACTGTATCTGTTTCTAGGACCTTCACTACCAAAATGATGACAACCCCTCCAAAGCCAACAAGATGATGAGGATCCTAATGTTTGTCCGCATCCTGAGCCTCATACGTTTGGCCCGAGTGTCTCGATTGGTTCGCTTTTTCAACGAAGTGGAGAAAGTAAGTCTAAGTTTGAAGATCATGTCTGAATCAATCAACCTTTCTCCTACGTGATACATTACAGTCTCCAGTAACACATTTGACCCTGAGCCTCAAACCAATGTCATTCTACATTACTGAATACTACTGTATAGATTTTTGAACTGTAACATTGACTTTAAAGTGGTAGTCTTCATTATACTGCTTTATCTATTTTCATACCATAGCCTATTTATATCACATCATATAAATAAAAAAGAACAGCTATGGTCAAAGTTCAAACCCTTCAGGGAATTTTCCAGCCTTTTGAATCCATAACAGATGGTAAGATCTTCAATCTTATATCAGATCCTTGAGTGTCCATGCGGTCTGCCTCTCTTAGTGGTTATGTCAAACATTCATTCATTCATGAAAAATAATTAAAAATCTTGTGAAAATTCACAGGTCTCTAATGCAAATCTGGAGGTGGTGAGACTGTTTTTCAAAATCCTGTCCCTGTTCATGATGATTTTCCTGTTGTGTCACTGGAACGGTTGCATCCAATACTTTGTGCCCATGCTCGAGGAGTTTCCTGCAGACTGCTGGGTTAGACAAGAAAATCTCATGGTAACTTTATTTCTTCCAGTATCATGCATAACATGGAAACAATTACCTATTTCAAACATGGATGTCAAGATCATTTTAATTCTTATGATTTTAATTAATAATAAGTAATAATAATTAATAATCATGACAATCTTTAAAAGGAAAAAATCTGTTACATTATTATCCTATTACACAGACATGACTGTTTGTTGTATTTTTAAAAAAAAAAATACATGGTGTGAGTTTGAATTTTATTGAACTGGTCAGATTTTAGGGACTTTATTTTATCCTTTTTGCTCAGGATTACTCACATACATTTCAAAGGTAGACATGCAGTTTGTATGCTCAAGACATTTCAAAACATCATTCCTGAATGAATAAGGCATTACATAAAATTTACGCTGGTTAATTACTTTCTCAACTTACTTTGGTCCTTTTATGTCTTTTAGAATCCACAGTTAAATTAAAGCTCTAATTAAAACTTAAATGGGCTTTATGGATTCATAAATGTTAGGTCAATAAAAGTATATTTTTTTATCTTGCAGAATGCCACAGTGCTAGCAAAATACTCGTGGGGCATATTCCGTGCTTTGTCTCAGATGATCGCTTTGTCCTATGGCTCTATGGATGCTCCTACAAGTGAGAACTATTGACTATTACATCCTGTGTACTGACTATCGTGTAACATTGGGACGTATAGACGGACACGCTGCTGTTGTGGTCTTGTGTTTCACAGACTATGTGGAGATGTGGATCGTCATGGTGAGCATGGTATCCGGGTGTCTCATGTACACTGTGCTTGTGGCCAACACTACAGCTATGATTGCCAATGTCGACCCCGCAGCAAAAGAATACAAGAGCAAGGTCTGTATAGGTGACACTTCAGAGGCAAACACAGCTTAGAGCCAAACAATGTGTAATTATGTTATAATGAGCATCCTCCTGAACCAGGGAAGAATAATTATTTCATGTTCTCAATGACAACTGGAGTCATTAGTCCCATTACGTCACGTAAAACTGCAGACTCAGGCGTAAGTTATTAGTTCATAGTTTGAAAAATGCTGCAAATTGGGCTTTCCATTAGAGCTTGATATTGAACATCAAAAAATGTTTGGTGCCAAATGTTAATGAGATAAAATAAGAATCCCTGATTTGTAGGATGTTGTGCCTTTCCTCATGCAAAAGATATAATATTTAGATTTTAATTGCTAATTGCTATGGCAACTGAGGATGAATATGTTGATTTTACACTCTGCAATTTGAAGGAGTCATAATTTCAGATGGAGGACATGGGCCTATAACCGAACAATATTTATTAGTGAACGTGTCATATTAATGTTATGGTTTAAAGTACTTTCAACTGACAACAAACGCACCATTGGGGTTGAATAATGGCACCACTTTTTGAAACAATTGTGAAAATATTTTGTAATCTGTTTGTTTATTTATACTGATAGGGAAGACATTACACTGTGTGCTGACTTGCTGTGGATAGGCCCAGTAATTACAATGATATTAACTATAAATTAGGTCAAAACTATCTGGCTGCTGAACAGCTAATTCCACCATAGAAGTCTGAAGTGTTCTTCAGATTTTAAGTTACCAGCTTTTTACCCACCCCCAAAATGTTGTTTCTGACTTTTGAGCACCCCTTACATCGAATAACAATGTTGTTGTCTTTTTGTTTGTTTTACAATTGTACCCAGTAACAGCTGTTTTATAGTTTTATTTTAATTGTATTTATTTCAAAATTACCCTATACAGAAACCTTATTAAGCATGTACAGTATATTATTAAGAACATTTTAGATTAAAACAATATTCAGTTCCATCTTTCTTTTAAATCTGAAATAATTTCAGGTACCCCCTGTCAAGTGCTCATGTACCTCCAGGGGTCCGCATACCACTGATTGGGAAACACTGCTCCAGTCTTATACTATAGGGATTCTAGATTCACATGAACGTATCCTAATAAAATTGTTTTATTTCAGATGAGTCGACTTGAGCACTACATGGCATTTATGAAACTACCTCCTGAGCTGCAGCTTCGTATAACGAACTATTATCAAGCTCGATACGGAGGCAAGTGGTTTGATGAGAAGGAAGTCATGAACACTGTGTCCTCAGCTCTCAAAGAGGTACTGCTGTGCTATATCATGTTACATGTTATGTCATAAATCCTTGATCAACTATCCTATTCATGAGAAAGTATGAATTAGTGATACAAGTGAATAATGTAAATGAATACTATGTAGATTTTCTAACATTAGTTATTATTCACATGGGTTTTCAATGAATGTATTGCCTGCTTGTCTTCATGGAGATGATATTACTTTGGCATTAAACTTATCTGTCATTTTAATGGGTATTTGTATTACAAAAAAGATTTCTTACTTCAAATGGATTCGCCTCTCCACGGATCTGATGTGTTACTTTTGTTATATAGTAATGCCAAACATACTGTGAAACAAGCAGTAACATTTTAATGGAGAGAAGCAATTGCCAGATTCTTTAACTACAACAACAGCTAATCAAGTATTAAGTTTAAAACTTCTGGCCTGCACTGATTAAGTTTTGTTTTCTATTTCAGCAAATCATGGCAGTGATGTGCAGTACTCTGCTGAGGAAAGTGCCAATGTTTCAAAACAGACACGAGAACTTCATAAATGCCCTAGTGGTGAGACTGGAGTATTGCATTTTCCAGGAGGGGGACGCCATAGTGCGAGAGAACGTCCCTGGAGACCACATGTACTTCATAGACCATGGTCAGGTTTTGGTGGAGGCCGATTCCTATGAGAGGGAGCTCTGTGATGGGGACTTCTTTGGAGGTGAATTTTATTCTTGTTTATCATTTCCTCCTGTGAATGCTGTTTGACACCTGATGTTATTTACAAGTTAAGTATAGATTAGAGGTGAGATTTGATGTATTGCTAATTCAATTCTGGAGCAAAGAGTTGTTCCCATACTGTAGGTCAAAAACAGGTATCTTAACCGCTTGTAAATCATGTGGGACTTGTGGTAATAACCTTTGCAACCTGACCCACCAGCTGTTACACAATGTGATGCTAGTCCACACTCCCTTGGACAGCCTTTTAGCAACAATTACTTAATTTATCATGTTAATCAAAGTATAGTGTTGCACACTAGAATACATCAAGAGGAAAGAACATCTAAAAAAAGCTCCTAGACTTTATACTAAATGTATTAGGAAAGTCGTTCATTCCTTAAAGTATCATCATCAATAAAAAAAGTAATTTGAACCACTGCCATGGCAGAAATCTCTTTCCAAGGGCTTATTTAATTTTCAGAGTTGAAGTGGATTCAAATCTACTGTTTTAAGCCAAGCATGACTCTCTCCAAAAAACTTTTTAAGTCAAAGATGATTACATTTTAGATTACTTGTTGGGTCTCAGCCAACTGGTCTCATTAATGTTTCCCCTGTGCTTCCTCAGAGTCGTGTGTTTTAACCAGAGGCAAACATCTTGTCACAGCGAAAGCGCTCACTGACTGCCGATGCTTCACTCTGTCCTGGGATGATTTCCAGGAAGTGCTGAGGACCTTCCCAGACGTCAAAAAGGACATAGAAAAACATTTTGTTAATTCAGATGGTGGACTTGTCTAATATATAAGCACCAATTCTGCTTTGAATGGATATGCTTTTTGTATGATTTTACAGGGCTTTTTGACAAGAGGACAATAATTTAGCTCACTAGAAAAAATATATTATTTTGCGAATGAGATGGACTATTTATTTTTCTTATAATAGCTATGAATTATTTTATCTGCTAATTACAGCGAGTTCTATAAGCAATATTAAACAGGACTTTGGTTCATTTACTTATTTGTGTCCAGAATGTTATGCCTGCATGATCACAGAAATTACACAAAGTAAAAATAAGGGGTTCACTTAAGTTTTACTCATGGTTTTACTCCATAACATTCAAGTGGGTACATTACATTTATATTTCACCCAAACACACAGACAGTGCCTGAAGCCAGCCGGTGTTTATACTCGTACAGATAATAGGAGGCGGGTGGGAAGTTGCACTTCATTTCCATTCGTCCTGGGACTACATGAACTGCCACACCGGAGCCCAGCCCTTCCTGCAGCTTCTGGAGCATGCGCGAGGCCAGGTACCTGCGAGCCCGGCCTGGGTCCTCCTCTATGGCAGCGTACACCTCTGGAGGGGGGTTGGGGATCTTCCACTCGAGGTCCACAATGAGCTGGTGAATGCGGCTCTTGTCCAGAGAGGTGGGAGCCTCTCTGTAACACGCCACCACATGAGGCACTGGGGGCTCAGAGGCCACTGACAGGAACTGACTGAGCTCTTTTTCTAATGGAGTCTCCTCAGTTTGGTCCTGACTCTCTCCCTCCCCCTTTATCTCTTCCCCTTTTTCCTTCCCCTCTTCCTCCTCCAGGGGGGTGAAGGCCGGGTGCAGCATCACGGCCCAGTGGAGCCAGTCGTAGTTTTTCTCCAGAGCTTTGAGGATGGAGGCTGCAGCCACATCAGGAGCCGCGCGGTCATGCACCGCCTGCTCCAGCTGCTCTCGCACATCCATTTCAGCCTGCTCCAGGAAGTAGCCCAAACACCGGCTTCCAGAAGTCTTCATCTTCCTGTAGAGGGCACCCATGCGCTCAGTCCAGATCTTCATCATCAGGGCCTGGTCTCTCCCTGTCATAGAGGCCTGTGTGAGGAGACACAGGAGCCCTGTGCCCAGCACAAAGTTAACCTGTGAGCAAAGAGGCGCAGCAGAGGTCAATACAACAGAAAGTGGGCACTGAAAACATGAATGAGTTTTACAAAATGAATGAATGATTGTTGGTTTAAATCCTTATCTATTGGGTGAAATGACATTCAAATTGTTCTTAGGTAAACAATGTACACTTTGGCTTAAATACTATCACCACTTCTGTGTTTACCCATGATAAGTCCTCAAGGTGGTACAAATATGTCTGTCAAGAACATTTGAATATAATAATTGTCAGTGTTCATTTTGACATTTGTTCAGTACTGTATAACAAACTTTTTTATTTTTTTTATACATCTTTGTATGTTTGTCCTCACTCACCTGATTTGTCCTTCTTCCAACTGTAATAAGGAAACAGGGGATTTGCAAACTCAGCATGGCAGAGACAGAACAAGGTCACTGTGCTGCTGAATTAAAATTCCAGTTTATTTCCATACTCACAAGACAGATGCAGCCCATTTGGTTACCTCTGTGTTTTCAGCACATTCATCTTGGTCGTCCAGGGGCTAAAAATCTAATTCTGTATACAGCTGTGCTTCAGCCCTCTCAGGGGAGATTAGGTGTGTTCTTACAGTTTCTTTTGATTTATTTTCTCATTTTTATTTATAAATATGATTTTAAGTGACAAGTTCACATTTGATTTAGATTTGAATAGATTTGAGTGTACACAGAAAGTTCATGGTTACTGAGATATCCTTTATAACCTGTGACATAAAGCAGATACCTTCTCATTCATCCAATGACACGGGAAGGTGAAATGCCTTGCCCAAGGACAAAGCAGCAGTATGCATGGGTCAGAGAGGGCATTTAACATTTGTGTTTTTGAGCAACCCACAGCATATCCTCATGGTGATAAAGAAGTTTAATGCCATACTGATCAACATGCCCAGCAAAACAATAAACAGGTACCCTAAATGAAAAAGGTTATATAGTGTACCTTTTAAATCACTTAATAATAGCATAAAACACATTATATAATCTAGCTAAGACTAAAATGCGCTGCCCAGACTAACCTTTACACAGAACTGTGTGAGCTCCCAGCGTTTTGGTTTACGACTCAGAATGAGCTCTTCCAGCAGAGGAGGCCGCTCAGTCAGGGGGGACATTCCCATCAGGCGGTGGTACAGTGCTGTGAGCTGCCTTTCTAAATGATAGTCTTTCACAAACAGAAGAAACACTTCTGTCTCTTTCTTAGTGAAGTTTGACTGGGCCCGCACCTGATGGAAGAAGGGGTCACATACTGAATCCAAAAGGAAGATAATAAAGTATAAATTACAGCTTGCATGTGCCAGCATAATATAAAAGTTTATTTAATCAAACACTATTATGCAAACATAATATCATTACCGCTGTAGTGAGCTGGTTATAGACCACGGCCAGATCGTCCTCCAGGCAGTGCACCTCTCTGTCGCCCAACAGACCCTGCTCTGAAACACTCAGCTCCTGGTCTAAGTGCTCCAGGTTCTTTTTGACCGTCTCAGTCTCCTCTGCTGTAGCACTGCCATCCAGATAGGAGCAGATGCCCTGGACCAGAGCCCTGGGGAAAATACACTATGTTCATATTGTTACACTAATAATAACTGATATGTTATAAACTTTTTAAACTTACTTCACATTCTGCATGTAGCCCGCTGGCTCTAAAACCTTTCCAAACATAGTGATGGGTAAAGAGGCCCGCATATAGACTAGACAGACACAGAAAACAATAAGAAAACAATAGATTAAAGTAGGCTGTAGACAAATAGGTTAAAATATGATGTATGTCTTACCAGTTACTCACCTCAAATGTTCTAGTTGCTGGTGTGGACTGACTTTCAGTGTCCCTTATTTAAATCTCTCGTTATCAGATAAGAGGTCCATAGCAACGCAGACACACTTTACATAGGAATAGTTTTATACTATAGGCCCATGTCTTGTACCTGGGTATATTTCATCTGTACATTATACATGTACAGGTGAACATTCAATATCATTTACAAACATTATCACTGAATAATTCTACTATTATAATCCAAAAATAATAAGAAGAAATTCACATTTTCAGTTCCGTTTCAAAGTTAAATATACATATTTATAGAACACCTTATCAGAACCAAGAAACAATAATTTAAAACCGTATAAACAACCCAGTATAATAACAAACATGGCGCAATATTTAGTGGTAAAGAATAAAATGACCTTGTTTATCAGACGGGTACACCAATCCAGATGTGGCGCTGTTCTGTTCTTTGTTTAAGCAGAAGAAGTCTCAAAACCGGAAAAGGCGCCAAAATTCAAGCGAGCCTGAAAAGTAAACATGTTGTAGCCAGAGAAACCTTTATAAAAATGGACCCGACATCTCAGTTCTTTGCGAAGCTTCGTAAACTGGCAATAACTCTTGAAACAGAAACGACCAAACTTCAATCGGCCTTTGAAAATCGTAAAAGCGACGATGAGGACAGGAGCGGTCAGTAACACGACACGAGTCTAATAAAAACATCATATTTTGTAAGGATCGACTAAATGTGACCTCATTCGATTTCCTTGTTTTGGTTTTCAGAGAGTACAGCCAGGGGGATGCGAGCTTATCACGAATTAAACTGCGAAGTTCAAAACATCAAGGTAAACACGCCTATATAACTAAATAATAGAACATGCATTTTTTTTATTCAAAATGATGTAAATAACTGACAGTTTTTCTAACTCTCCTGTAATTGCGATATTGTGGCACAAAAAACCTCTACTAATCAAAGTGGCTTTGATTAAATATAGTTACTTGTGTATATGACAATACTACGCGCGTCATTTATTTGCCAATTTTGTACTTTATATTTTTGTTCACACTCCTCTCACAGGGGCAGATCCAGGATAATGTGGCACAGCAGAAAACAAATGTGGCTGAAGTGGACCGCTTCATAAAAGATTCTGAAGTGACACAGCAGAAGTTCTCTGAAGACCTGAACAAGATCAAAGCTCACTGGGAAAAATATGGATACCAAACTCCTAAACAGACTGAAAACACAAACCGTGAGTACTGTCTCCTGACACTTTCACTCTTATCTATTCATTCTATGGGTTAATGTAAAGTTTATTCCAAGTTTGTTTTCATTTATTTCTGACTGTTGATGTCACAGTAATTTTACTTCATTCAGAAAGTTTGATTTCATAAAACTGGTCACTAAGGGAGGAACGCTAAGTAACATTTTAAACGATGGGAAGGAATTAAATGAAAGATTTTACAGTTGCTGTGTTTGAAATTGGACTACTTTCATACGCTACTTAACACAATTTCTGTAAAGCAGCTTGAGGTAAAACTTCACTCTATTTGTGATTTTATTTAGATGCCAGTGATCATTCGCCTAAAGACGAGGCTGTTATAGAAGATGAAAACCAGTTATCAGAGGAAATAGAGGGACATCAGCAAGAGACTGAAGAAGAGCTCTCACCAGAGAAACCTCCTCCTCCACTGGCCAACCCTATGCGTACCCCACAGCTCTCTGACTTTGGCCTGTCTGAGGCACAACTTAAGAGAGCTTTGGATGGTGGAGAGTGGTGCACCGATGTGCCTCAGATGCCTGAAATGAACCTTCCCCATCCTGCATTAAACACACCAGCTCCTCCGGCAATGGCTCTCACACCCAAACGTGCCCTGTGCATGGATGAGGAGGAACTGCTCACCCCACAGATGCACGACTTTGGCATCTCAGAGCACACCATGTGTTTTAACAATGACTTTACCATGGATCTGCGACTGAAGAGTTTTGAGAAAACGAAAAAGTAAAGCATTGAAGTTGATAATACATTACATAGACATTCTCCTGGTAGACATAATACATTTGTGAATAATATGTTCTTTCATAGACAACAACAAAATCTCCTAGAGCCACCTGTTAATCCTCTGATGGAAAGCATACAGGCAAATGGTATGAAATACATCACTGTTTCTAATTTTATGATGCAACTGTAGTTACTTATATTTTAGATTTGAACACAATTGTTTACCAGATATTCTTTGTTATACGTGTAATTCAGTGTTCACTGTGAAGACATTAAACATGTATTTTGCTTCTGACAGACGATCTTGAATCGCCAGAGCCTCCTGTATTTTGTACCCCAGGATTAAAGATAAAAAAGACACATCCCACCACTGAATGCAGTTCTGATTTAGAATCTCCTAGTAGCCCTGCTATTCTGCCATCCACCCCTGAGGTCCCTGCTTTTCAAACTCCATACGTAAACCGCCTTCTCAGCACAAAAAAGGTTTGCATTAAAACTTTCTGTTCAAATCATTTTAATATGAGGAAGTTGTCATCATGTCTAGTTCTTCGTCATTCTTTCAGAATGAGAGAAGGCCTGAGACAATTAAAATGGAAAGTGATGACAACAGCAAAGTGTTTAATGTCCCAACACCACCTCGTGATGGTGGTGAAGCCTCTAAATGCAGCTGGGAGTACAATGTGCCACGCTTACGGATTGAAGACATGATGGCTGATGAGATGCCAGAGATGCCAAACCTGGAGTCTAATTTGGGAAACTCTTTGCAAACTGTAAGTACAAAATAATGACACAGAGAGACTATGTAGTTTTGCGTAAATAAATCTGTCTGTTGTGCACCACATGACTTAATTTCTTGTCTGTTCCTACTTGTCACTTTACAGAAAAGTGCAAAGATGCAGAAAAAGGTATGTGGCCGTGAAAAGCCCATTGTCAGTGCGCTGGACCTGGATGGACCCACTCAAGAGTTTAACCTGGGAACACCGTGTGTCAGAAGAGACTACGAGGAGCCGAGCACCCCCGAAATGCCCGACCTGAGTTCGGTGACACAGGACATATGTAAAGTAAGTTAAAGCGATCTGCTTCTTGCTTTTCTCCATGGAGAAAAGAGAGTTGGTGATTTGTCAAGAATATTCACAGTATTGCAATAACTTGTCTCTTATTCACTTATAAATGCTTAAAAAACCTTAATTCTTACTCAGAGTGGGGTCACCTCTCCACAGATTTGACCTATAACATGTCCCATTGGTGTCACCTGTTTGTCTCTATGAAATAGAAAGTTTGATTACATACTCTGAAACATGGGAAACCGATAACATAAGACTCAGAGATGAGTGTTGCTGACCTTCCACCAGAAAAGTTATGCATTGCATCTTTATTACTAATATATACTTTGTTTTTGTAGCTTGTCTCTCAGACACAGATGAGAAAATCAGCCAATGTTGTCAAGAAACAACAAGAAAAAGAAAACACTAGGTAAAAAGCTCAAATAGTGTTTTTATGAATATTTTATGTATTCACCCTTGTAACTGTCTCTGTAGTCCTCCCCGAAGATTTGACACACTGGCGTCAGTATCTGAGCAGGAGTTTCATAGTTTACCTGGTTACCTAAGGCAGATGACTTTGAGCAGTCTCAACCAGGCTGTGGACAACATCAACAGCTCCATAGCTATGTGTAAAGGTGAGCCACATATTGTTTAAGTATTAAACAACTGAACAAAACCATAAGGTGCATATTAACTAAATTAACATACAACACTTACACATTACATTATACATGTGTACAAAAATATTCAGTATTCCTACTATTAAAGATTATTTATTATACATACATTTATAATTTTTGTAGACAAAAGGTATTACCCTAAAATGTCTGCAGGGTTAAGTGTAGGGCTGTTAAAAATGTCTGGCAAAAAAACCACAAAAACTAGAAACTGAGAACGTCTGACGCCACCATAGCCACAATCCAATTACTGCAGCCGAAACCTGAGATGAATCATTATTAAAACAAAAGTGCTAACTTACTTACTTTGTACTAATTGACATACAGCGTGTACTGGGTAAACAACTTTATAGAGAAAAGTGTTCTGAAACTACCAAAGGAGTATACGACTGTTCAGTGCAACATTGTAGAACTTCTCTTCGGCTGCCAAACATCATTAAGACAGTCGGTATCATCTTCAGTTAACAACTTGAACAGGATCAAATGGCGACAAAACCTCTGGATAAAAAAGCCTTTTCTTTACTGCACAAGGATGTATTACACTTAAGTCTTTACATATTGGCACATTTATAACACCCATTTTTATTTGCCCAACGAGTCTAAAATAACCTTTTTCATAAATTATGATAAAAAGCAGTAAAGTAGTGTCAAGTAGTATTCTATAGGTGAGTAATAAAACAGTTAACACACATTTACTATATATATATTTTAGTTATACACATAAAATGAATTGATCTGATAAGGCTGTGCCCTCATTACCTCTCGATTTACCTACGTAGACCTGATAAAACATTCTGTGGACCTGCGAACACAAGTATGAGTGATCTGATCATTTGATGTTTTTTGCTGCCCTCTACAGGAGGAAAGACCGAATTTCACATAGAGCAGCTGAAACAAATGATAAATTTTGGAGCGAAGACTCCTTTATTTATTGTTTGTTTAAGCGAACTCAAAAGACTGGACCAGATCAAAGGAACCAGAAACAACTCTGTTTATAAACTAAAGACTCACAGCTGAAACACAGAACTAACAATGGTTGTCTAAAATCTGTGTTTTGTTAGTAACTCAAGGAATTTATTGTCATTTCCAATCAATTTTAAATAATTTCTAACAAAATAAACCACAACTGTAGCAGCATGGTGTGTGTGATAATAAATGTTTGTGGGTATAGTATCTTCCGGTTTACTGTTCTTATTATATCTGAATGAAAATTGCAGACCAGCTATGTTAAGGATCTGTTGACACTAGACTGATAAATGAGTAGAGGAGAGCAGATGGTTACAATAAAATTGAGATTTCGACATACCAGGATGAAAAATGTTATATTCAGGCTTGAGTGATTACTGTTGTGATTACTGACAGATAATTTAATACAAGAATACCAAAGGAACGTTAAGGAAACATTTACTTGCTGAAGTCATAAATAAATGTAGCTAGTGTGTTTTTAATGCAAATAAAGCTATGGGTTTTACACAAAAGATGGTAAGCTATTCTGACCACACTCCAGGACAGTAGGTGGCAGTAATACGCCTACAACTTGGTTCACACCCGCCCGTGAGCGGAGGAAGAAGATCCTAGCTTTTTAGCGGCTAGCACGAAATGTAAACAACACCCACAACAATGTGTGATGAAAACAAAGACGGGCCGGGATGTATTGTGGAGCAGCTGCTTCAAATCCCTTTTCCAAAACGGCTTTTGCCAGACAAATTGATTATTGTTGTGAGAGGACGGCCAACTCCGGCGCTGACAAATTTGATACAAGATTCCAAAGTTACCGCCACAAGTGGATCGTACACGAGACATTTCCAAACCGCCACATATGAGAAATGCCAGTGGCTAACAGGTTGTCCTAAGTTAAACAGACTGTTTTGCTGGCCGTGCATCCTGTTTTCTGTTGAGCAAGTTGTGTGGAACACGAAAGGATATGCTGATCTTGGAAACTTGTGTGGAAGCATGCTAAGGCACGAGCGCTCCCAAAACCACATTAGAAGCATTATTTCCCTGAAAACCTTCGAAGGTAGTCGTACGGACACCCAGTTTAATGAGAAGGTGAAGTTCTGCATTGCAAAGCACAATAAGAAAGTCAAAAATAACCGAGATGTGTTGCAGAGGATTATAAACATAGTCACAGTTATGACATGCCAGATGCATCTTCTACGGGAACATTGTAAAGAAGAATCCGCTGAAACAAAGCGTGGAAACTATATCGAATTAGTCAATCTGGTGAAGGAGTATGATGTCATTTTGGCTACACATCTGGAAACATCTGTTTTTTCTGACCTTTCAAGTCACGTCCACAATGACCTTA